CTATCTATCTATCTATCTATCTATCTATCTATCTATCTATCTATCTACAGTTTATTTGTGGGACATTGAACCTCTCTTGTTATCATAAAGACGTACGACTGTAAACATTCACAGCCTGCACACATTTTGCACATTTGAAAACAAGTCACACGCCCACTGTCTTCTTCCACTTCCTGTTTTCACATCAAAGGCAGCAGGAGCCTGACGGTTTCTTTATTTGCCGGTGTTGTGTCAGGTCAGCATACCCCGACAGACCAGCATGCCTGTAGTTTACAGTGTATTTTTCGTACAAAACTAAAGGGATACTCGCGCGTTGAGGTAGTTCAAAGTGTATTTACAGAAGGGTGTAGCTGCACCTGCAGCCATCTACAAAACGCATCCCCATACAAAACACACCTCCCCCCCAGCCAATCGTTGATTTTGATTTGGACATTACGTCATCTTGGATACAGATTAATTGAAGTGAATCAAACGTGAGCATGATGCTTACTACCAGCAAGGTTGTAGTTAGCACATAAAAAAGTAATGATAACCTTGTTCAATGTTGGGATTAAAGGAACAGTTCAATCGATGATCAAATTTATGTAAAATTTTGCCACGTATTTTATTTGCTTATCTCTAATTTTCCAGGGACTGCACATGCTTTAAATACGAAATTGTTAGAAACAGCATTTCTAAGTTAATTTGTAAACAAAAGTACTTGACTTTCGGTGTTGTTTTCCGGAAAGTTTGTGTGTTTACCTTAAACTACAACCTTTTGTTTATCATATCACGCATAGAGTAGTCTAGTAAACTTCGTCAATGTTAATCTCTTAGATTTCTGCCAAAGGTAGCGCATGCATATTAACTATGGGTATGGTGGTCTGTCGGGGTATGCGAAAATCTGACAGAACACCGGTGGGTTTTGCAGGATGTCTGCCTCCAGACCCGTGCCGGGCCACGCCCTGCCGGGCCACGCCCTTACCCGGCTGGCCAGGGATTGGCTGGCGGAGGACACGCCCGGTTTTGACCCGGCGGGGGTGTGCGTGGGCTCGGGGGAGCTGGAGGCCCGGTTGCTATGTAAGACGCCCCACACAGTGCTGGCGGGGGGGCCGTTTTTCACCGCCGTGTTCACGGAGGTGGGCTGCTCCGTGGAATGGATCTACCAGGAGGGAGACCAGATCGGTAGGAAGCCATCAGACCCCAGATAGGGCCCACATACCCACATACAAGTCCAAGGCCATTTTGATTAGGTCACCAATAGGAAGATCCCAGGCGAGAAAATCCTAATTGCTTCATGGCAATATAGACGTTAATTTGAAAATAGTGAAATGAATCTAGCAAACACTGAATTAAACTCTATCCATAATATTATGTTAAAATAGTGGATGTTAAATAGGTTTGTACAATGAGTCCAAACAAGTTTAACCAACAAATATTTATTTCTCACAATTATGACGGGTGGAGGGTTAGGGTTAGGGTCAGGGTTAGGGTCAGGGTCAGAGTCAGGGTCAGGGTCAGAATCAGGGTTAGGGGTTAGGGTCAGGGTTAAGGGGTTAGGGTCAGGGTTAGGTTTACAGGGGAGGGTTAGGGTTCCAATAAAGTTGCCATTATTCCACTATTATTCCACCTCAGTTTGCTTCATGAAAACAGAAAAAAAGAAGAGTAATACAGTAATAAATAGATAAAGTAATCCTGATTTTAAGTCTAATTCTGAGTCTGATTCTTATTCTTATTCTGATCAGGTTCTGGGTGAGGACGTTTTCAATTATTATTACATTTTTCCACTATTATTCCACTAATGTATTCTTTGTAAAAGAATGATTAATAAAGTGATAAATAAAGAAAGTAATCCTGATTCTGATTCTGATCAGTTTTTATGTGAGGACGTTTTCTATAAAGTTGCCATTATTCTACTATTATTACACCTCAGTTTTCTTCATGAAAACTGAAAAAATAGTACTAACTAACTAACTAACTAACTAACTAACTAACTAACTAACTAACTAACTAACTAACTAACTAACTAACTAACTACATAACTCAATAACGAAAGAAAGAAAGAAAGAAAGAAAGAACTAACTAACTAACTAAATAAAGAAATAACTAACTAACTAACTAACTAAGTAAGTAAGTAAGTAAGTAAGTAAGTAAGTAATTAAGTAAGTAAGTAAGTAAGTAAGTAAGTAAGTAAGTAAGTAAGTAAGTAAGTAA